CTTTCTCTAGATTAATTAACACTGATTCACTCTCCAGACAGGTATAATCTTACAGAAGGTGCTTGGGAAGTCAAAGGTTATTATTGCTGGAATAGATTATATCTGGTTCTCACTCTTCTACTTGGAGCACAGTGTTAGTTTTAGCATTATCTTGTGAGAAATAAAGTCTAAAATTAAAATGTCAGTTTATTTTTCATGGTATGTGTTCCAATTTACAACCCCTTGTCTCTCTTGAATGGCTTCACAATTTCCAAAACAGAAATGGTGACAAACTCTCCTGTCTTCTCCATCAGTTATTTGCTGTCTTCTCAAATTCCTTTATTTAAAGGGTCTTTGTTTTTGGTTTTCACTCAGATATTTTGGTCTTTTCTTTTGTTAATTTAACTCTAGAGAAGTTATTTTGAACCATATCCATGTTGACAAATGTAGAAAAGGTATGAATGAGACTGGATATCTTCACAATACAAGAGATGTATTTGACCGGTTTTGATTACGTCTTCATCAGAAATACATGTATTTCTGATGAAGATGTAATCGAAACCGGTCAAATACATCTCGTATTGTGAAGATATCCAGTCTCATTCATACCTTTTCTACAAGAAATTATTTTGTACAGCAGCACTGATTTATCTCCATCTCAACAAAATTTCTACTGAAGAAACTTGGATAGCTTTCTACTCTCTTAATACTTAGAAACTCAAATAAAACAGACTGATAAAAACACTTTGTTTCATGGAAAATCACATTAGCCCATGGTGTTAAAAACTGCCTGCTATCATTATTGCATGTATAAAGCTGGGCAGATTCAAAACTGTGTATAATTGATCTATTTTTGTCTGCTGACAAGGAATTCAAGCAAAGAAATAGTAATAATAAATAAAAAGTAAAAGTAATGATAGAAAAAAAAAATTATATCTACTTATAAGTTAATCATCTCTGGTCCTGTTATTTTTAACACTTTATTCATATGCAGATGACTCTATGCTTCGATATTGTTCCTTCCTTTAAAACACTTACATTGACCATAATTACCACAATTTCAGTATTAGAGCTAGTTTTTTTTTTTTTTTCTTGAGATATGATTTGTAACTTTAACTGGTTAATTAAGTGTGTTTGTCATTTAATATATTTCCCAGGAATTTTTCATAGTTATATAAGGAAAGATAAGCTAGTTCTGAGAAAGTTGTATCCCCTTTTATGAGATTAACATAATGTGAGGGGAGGGAGGTAAAAGATCCAGGGTAAATATGGATACATCTCTAAGAAAAAGTAACATAAATTTCAAACATTATTAACAAAGGGAAAATAGTGAGAGAAAAAATCCACAGAAGAGGGCATTTCAGGAAGATTCCATAAAGAAGGGGATGCAGAAGAGAATAAAAAAAGCCCTTGCAAAATTAGTTGAGATGAGGGCTGTGGTCCAATGTAGGGGTGATACGCTACATTGGGCCTGTCTCTGACTCCTAAGCCCTCCCACAACGACGAGCAAAGGATTGGGGGTGATATTAACGTTACATAGTATTAACAACTGCTCATGACATTAATATCTGAACTCTTCAACCTTGTTTAAAGCCTTGTAAGATTGGCATACAACACCTCGCTGCATATTACGTGGGTGTTGTGTGGAGTGTTTTCTTTGTCTATCATAAGTAAAGGCATTGAAGACCTAGACCCATGTGGTTTTCCATTCTTTTACCAAAACCCATCTTCCTTGGTTGTTAAGAATCAGGCATTATATCAAGTCTTACCTGGCATTTTCCAGCTTTTTAAAAATTTCTGGTCACTTCTGAGCACTAAGAAAGTGATGGTATTAATCAGGATGCACATGAGGTGTGATTTGCGGTCGAAAAAATGGCATCTTTGCTCTATGAATATTAAAAGTGTTTTATCAATTAACCTTGAAACTTCTGAATATTCTCTTGCAGAAAAGGGGAAAAATTACTCAGGCTAAAGTGATCAATTATCTCAAGTTCTTGCATTCCAAGAGTTAAAAGTAGACAGTCAACACGCTGAGGGAGAGCATATCTTTTCAGCAAGTGCATCTCCCTAGCAGAAAGTGCAAGTACAACTAATCAAATGCCCATCAAATCATCCCAAATTAGGAACCACACACTCAAAAAAAGAAAAAAAAAAAAAAAATTATTAAGAAGAAATATATATTGTATGATGCACTTTAATCTTCTCTGTTAGTGGTAGGCATTTTCATTGAGCTTTTCAGTATTCTAACAATCTCTCCATAGCGTCGAAGACAACAGGGAACTGAGTAAAATGTCAAAACTGTGTACTATGTGATTTTATTATGTATTTACAATAAATATAATATCTGGAGATAATCCTCATATCTACATAAAAGTATTCAAGAGACTTTGAAGTTTGTATCATTCACTATTATTATTATTATCATATATCTTTTATGAATCTACATCACTTCCTTTCAAAGTCAGCATATTTAAAATCATTCATATCAAAGTCCTCTTCAATATAATCATTTTCTTCAATGTATTGTATGTCTTCTATTTCTTTTGATATATATTTAGGTGGAACGCTGAGAATGTTTTGTTCTTTATTCTGACTTCTTCGCTCTTTCTTCTTCAAATCTCTGTAATGGGTGGCCCAGCGTCTAATTTCCGCCATTCTTGAGACAAGATTATTCTGACTGTCTTCAGCTATTGTGCCTCTGCTCTCCTGTTCCAGTTCTTTTCTATGGGCAGCTTCAGCCCTCACCATTCCCTGCTGTACCTGCAAATTATAATGAAATAATAAAATCAAATATTACTAGCTAAATAACTGGCCTCTCCCACCAGGATCCACTCCCACACACTCTAGGAATCAAGATGTGTGGAACGAAGCTGCCATAACAATCTATAATCTAGGTTGCATTACAGACAAGCAGATAAATAAAAACACAAGATGAAATACACATACTGAGATGCAAAAACATGCACAAATGCACAAGTAAATAACATTAATAATTCTGCAAAGTAATTAATAGTTCTGAACAGAGTTCATTGTTACAATTTTTACATCACAAGAGATGGATTTGACTCATTTTGATTATATCTTCATCAGAAATACATTCATACTTTTTTCTATATTATTTTCATATGCTTAAACAACTTCATACATCTTGGATTTCATCCAGTGTTCTCACCATGGCGTAGATTTTGTCAACGTCAATGCCAAACACGTCATTTCTCATTTGTGGTAAATCTGACGGCAGCCCCTCAGCCTGTGAGTTATCACACACTGCTCTTCCTGATTCCTCAGCTTCCATCTCTATCTTGGCTATGGCATCCTTTGGGAACAGGAAATACAGTTATTAGTTTTACTTTTATTTGCAACATTTTCCATGTATCAAAAGATGAGAACAGCAGTTTGCTTTCAGGCATTATTTGAGAATCACAAGAAGCATGCAAAGTATATGGTAGTTCATGATACTGCAAGAAAAAATAAAGGTCCTATTAAGATATACTATTTCTATATGCACTAATCATATAAAAGTTAAAGATAAAAGAAAAAAGCTTAATTTCATAATCATTCTATTAGAAAGTTAAATAATTATTGGAATGAAAAAAATATATACAAATAAATCACTCTGAAATGACAATTAGGAGTATGACAGCGGGATACCACTGCCATGCTACTACTAGCCTTTAATTACACATAATGCCATATACAAAACAAAATATATATAAACAGTAGTATGTAAGCCAAAACAATTCAAAATAATACAAGAACAAATGGTTTCAAACTCACAAACCCAATGTGCTTACCTTTAAATTTTCATTCAGCAATGTTGTGACTGTAAGAGCAGATTTTACATAATGTGTGGCATCTGTGGGTTCAAAGCCTTCTCCAAAGTCGGCAAGTGATAAGCGCTTTTCTACTTCTGCCAACTTATAGAATTTTTCATCTGAAACAGAAGTACAATAGAATGCTTATATGATTTTCTGCATTTTTTTTTTCTTTCTCTTTAACACTCAACATGTTTTATCCACCTAATTTCTCAGTATAAGATCATAAAAAAGGTTTAAATCAAATTGTACTTCCCCTTCCTTCCTACATTTCATAACTCTTAATAAAAGAATTTATGCCATGAGATCTTACCTTTAACAAATGTTATACGAGGTACATGTCCCAAGACCCGAAGTTGGCTTAACTCATGGCGAAGAAGTGGGGCATTTTCTTGAAGAACTTTTGAAACATTGTCATCAAGCTGGGGTTCTTTAGATATCCAGTACACATTGATTCCAACTACATTTGGCAGTACTTGCACCTGAGTTGTAAAGAAAAAAATAATAAAAAAAAACATATCTAGTACTCTAAAGATACTCTTATCTCTTTTTCATTGGCCTCTTTAGCAAATATTTCCATCTGGCCTCAAATTCTAAGCTCTGACCATACCCCAACATTTGTACAGTAGCTTTGTTACCTTTGTTATTTCCACTCCATGACCAGAGAGTTGTGAAGAGACCTCTCCTGTTGCCATCATGTCACTGATCTTTTCTAAGAAAACTTTGTTCAGAACTTGCAGTCTATGTGTATTTCCTTCTCCTTTTGCCTGGGGTTGGCTTAATCCTCCTGGGTTGGCCATCATTCTGCCATCATGCCATATACGTCTGCGCAAGAGAATCAACTACAATGAGAATATTATTAAAAATTACCATTCATTTGCACCCAACAACAAATTGCTTCTCAAGGGGAACAGTACTGAGAAAAGCAGTGCAGGGAATTTGCACACAGTATAAAGGAATCATGTTGGCCCATCCTTACGAGGGCGGTCTCCTAGGACCTCAGAGAAGTTCCAGTGGTGCTTCATCGAATAAGCTTAACATCATGAATGGCATACTAGTTCCACTTTCTTCTTGACATCTGGCCCTCATCCACATAGAAAGTACAAAGAGATTTAGTTTCACTATGTACCAGGGTACATTTCTTTCATTTAAGCTAAAGACCTTTGGTGTTAACTTGGCTTCTTACTCAACATGGCAGTGTCAGTTCAAAATTAAAAGAATCCTCTTGGCATGCCAGCATAACAAAATAGAGACACTTTGGCAAGCAAATGCTTAGTGCTTCCCTTCACCCCAGTGTAGATCTAACTCTGAATACAATCTGGTGATCATGAAAGTGCAGGCTTAAAAACTACATAGGCCTATCTGACTTGAAACAAAGTCTGCTGGTCCACAAAATACAGTACTCTTTGGAGGTACTATTCTGTATGACTGAGGGGTACTTTCAACATCAGAAATAAGCAAGAGGTAAGCAAGTAATCCTATTTGGCAATTTAGTTGAACGATAAAAGGATGCACCCCTCTCAATACATGTTAGCTTTGATAGAGATGGTGCTAAGGAAACCTGTCAGGAATCTGGAACAATTTATGAACATCACCAGCCAAAAAAATAATTCAATGCTACCAAGAGCAGAACCCAAAGGCACCTGCATACAATAAATATTACACCCAAATTAACCAAATTTACAGCACAAGGGACTAAAATGACCCTAATGCAACCTTGAAAATCCTGTAATGACATCCTGTGACATTCCCATCTATCTTTATTCCCAGGATTTACAACACATAATGCAGTATGCCATGAACCTAGCCTTCATAAATGACTCACAAATACCATAAAATATCAACTGTATGTCCAAGGCACTCTAATTCAGGTTTATTCATCTACTTTTTCATCATCTTTTCTTTCATTTCGTTTCTTTGTAGGACACCAAAGTACACTGTCTAGATAAATGTGAGTATGACAAGCCACATCATAAGTGACAGATATCAGCAAAATTCAACTAACAGTATGAAATTCAGCTTGTTCCCAAAGACCTGAATATTTTGCTTGTCAAACTCTAGAAAGGCAGTAAACTTCGCCAGATTGCAAACAAACTCATATAAAAGACATCATGAATAACGATATGGAAAAAGGCAAATTAATACATACATCTACGAATATTATGCCATGGTTTCATGTGTCAAATACCCTCCTTACAAATTCTTTTGGAAAGTATTACACGTCGTCTACCAACAACTAGAAAAGTATAACATGATGATTAAGGTCGAAATAACTAATTGTAAAACTGGTCAAACATTGACGTTAAGGTAAAACTGAAAAGAAAACACGTATTACTTATTATTATTCATTATAAATTTTGACTCACTTCTTTCCATTATTTCCTGCGAAGAATTTCCTAGCATATTTCGCCGCAGATTTCGAATGCAAAGATGAATTCGACGTAAAGTAACGGTGAATTGTATATCTTAATGACAAATGCTGACAACAAACAAATGCAGAGTTTGTTAACATCTTGAGAAAACAAATTTTTCGGCTTCTCAGCATTGGATTTCCAGAGGTGGTATAATTCCAGGTTATATTCTTAAGGAGAACATTCTCATTATGCAGTTTACTTACTCTATCTTTACTATAGAGATATAATTTTTAAAATTAACTTTAATTAATTGTTATAGTTTTATTTTACATAAAGGAATTTAAACTATATCCTCACTTTTTTAAAATAATTACACAAACAGTATATAAGCTCCGTAATTGTAAACATTAAACACATCTTTAGTAAATATTTACCGCCCTAATAAACCAATTATTAATGATTCTTTAGAAAATGAGCAATAAAGATTATAATAGTACTACAAAAAATATATTTGTTTTATTTTTAGGTGTTTATATTTGCAAAAAAATGGTAACTTTTAGGGATGTACGCATTGTAAAGATGCATCTCCGGCGGAACAGCTGATGGCCTGCTAGTGTTGTGTCTTGCCGTCATGAAGGGAAAAGCTTGAATATCAAATTTACTTTTTGTTAATCCGTGGAAGGAACTTAATAAGGTATTGTAGCTTATACTCCACTACAAACGTATTAGGCTGTTACATTAGACGTATTCCATTACTTACCGCGTCAGGTATAATGTTTTTGCTTATTTGTGGCTGTGTTTGTTGCTTTTAATTTGTAAACGATAAAATATATCAGGATTTTATATCCTAATGATGCTCTGCTTGAACAATATATTGAAGATATTGACAGGAACTATTTGGTCAAATTTTTATTCCATGTAGATTGTGTTTACCTAAAAATGTTATCAAAGGTACAGTTACCAGCAAATGTTACCTAACATTTCTTTCGACAAACTTTTGTATCAAAACTTGCAGGTGTTTGTCTTGGCTCTATGAATCCCAGGAAAACTATAATGCATATACTAGCAGCAATAAAGATAGGCTTAGGGTCATTTTTATTAATAAATCTAGTATATTCTGCACTACTGTTAGTGATGTCCCAAGTACTGTCCAGATATTGCGATTGTAGTTATGTTTAATCAGAATTGGAATTTGAGGAAGTAGACAAAAAATCATGAATAATATATAAAGCAACATTATTAGGTATAAAGGACACTGTATAGAGAGTGAGGTAAGATTTTAATTACAGACTCGCTTGCATGTCCAATAACTTTTTTTATTTTTGAGTTGCAACAGAAGTGCATAGAAGACGTTTTTCTTAGATTTACTTGCTTTATGGTTTGCATATATTATTTTCCATATAACAGATGGCTGGATGAAACTTCACCCTTAGCAAAAGTGAAGATAGTCAAAGGTGTTTATCAAAGTCTGCAAATCTGTATAAGAACAGGATACCAGAAGCACTAGCAGTGAATTACACATTTAAAATCCAATTGGGGAGTTTCTTGTACTATACTAACTCCACCTAATTTTTAAGCATTTATTTTAAGTAACGAGGCTTTTCAGACATACCTTTTGAAGTGTAGTAGTTTACCTAATGGTAATTGCTGTACTAATAAGGATAACTATGCACCTATTTGAATTTGGCTTTTATTTTATTTTCTTAACCTTTAGTAATGAGGGTTATGGAAATGATTGAGTCTTTACATATTTATAGCATGTTGCAAATACTATGAAAAAGTTATCTCTGACACATCTAATAGATGAATTTCTCTTTATGTTAGGGTTTACTTGGTGTATTTACTTGCTGCAGATTACCAAATATATATTCTAACATGAAAATTATTTTTAAGGTATTTTATTTATTACCTAGGTAATTTCCATATGATCTCATGAAAATATGCATTTACAGTTTATATTTACTCCAAGATCAATTTTTGTTGTTGTTCAGAACTTTTTTCTTTTGTTATTTTCTTTTCTTTTCCTTTCTTTTTTCTTTCTTTCTTTCCTTTCCTCCATCCCATCCCATCCCATCCTTCCCTTCCCTTCCTTCCCTTCCTTCCCCCCTTCCCTTCCCCCTTCCCTTTCCCCTCCCTTCCTTCCCTTCCCTTCCCTCCCTTCCCTTCCCTTCCCTTCCCCTTCCCTTCCCTTCCCTTCCTTCCCTTCCCTTCCCTTCCCTTCCTTCCCTTCCCTTCCCTTCCCTTCCCTTCCCTTCCCTTCCTTCCCTTCCCTTCCCTTCCCTTCCTTCCTTCCCTTCCTTTCCCTTCCCTTCCCTTCCCTTCCTTCCCTTCCTTCCTTCCTTCCCTTCCTTTCCTTTTTTTCCTTTCCTTCCATCCTTACCTTCCCTCCTCTTCCCACTCCTCTCCTTTTTTCCCCTCCCTCTCCTCCCACCCCTCCTCTTCAACCAGACTTCTCACCATGATCATTTTCCTAATATCATGAAATTGGACTTTTGTATCAACTGAATATTGATTTTCTTTTCTTTTTTTTCTTCTTCTTTTTTCTTTTTCATTATTGCAATTACATATGTTAACAGTCAATTTTCGGAGCTTATGATATACTGCTCTGTAAACAAAGAAAACAATTTCGATGAAAAAAATCACATTGCTTCAGATTTTGGTATTATGGTCATCTTGTTTAAATGTTATTTTTGAATGCACTTGATCCTTTAGAAGAATCGTTTTTTTATCATTTTATTTCTCCTTTTCTATGTATTCAGGCCAAACCTTTTTTGTTATATATGTCAATATTCTAATTAATAATCAAATCTTCCTCAGACCATGGCCCTCAGAACCCTTGGACTGGCTTTGTCCAGAATGAGCCTTGCACCTGCTTTACCCAGAGGTCAGTTGTTGAAATTTTTGGTAACGTTTTAGTGTGTAAGGGAGAGGGATGTGTATGTTTGGGGGGTTTATGGTTTTGTTTGTGTCTGTGTTGCTGTTTGTGTTGTGTGTGTGTGTGCTTGTAGTTGTGTGTGCTTGCTTGTGTGTGTGTGTGTGTGTGCTTGTGTATGTGATGTAGGTGCTTGTGTGTGTGTGTGTGTGATGTTTGTGTTGTGTGTGTGTATGTGATGTGTGTGCATGTGTTGTGTGTGTGTGTGTGCTTTGTGTATGTAATGTGTGTGCTTGTGTGTGTATGTGATGTGTGTGCTTGCATGTGTATGTGATGTGTGTGTGTGGTGTGTGTGTGTGTGTGGTGTGTGTGTGTGTGTGTGTGTGTGTGTGGTGTGTGTGTGTGTGTGTGTGTGTGCTTGTGTGTCTATATGTGTGCTATGTGTGTCTATGTGTGTTGCTTGTGTGTCTATTGTGTGCTGTGTGTCATGTGTGTGTTGTGTGTGTGTGTGTGTGTTTGTGTGTGTGTGTGTGTGCTTGTGCATGTGTGTGTCCTTGTGCATGTGTGTGTGTTGTGCATGCGTGTGTGTGCTTGTGCATGTGTGTGTGTGTGTTTGTGCATGTCTGTGTGTGTGTGTGTATGTGAGTGTGTGATGTGTGTGTATGTGCGTGTATGTGTGTGTGTGTGTTGTGATGTGATTGTGTGTGCTTGTGTGTGTGTGAAGTGTGTGTGTGTGTTGTTGTATGTGTGTGTGTGTGTGCTTGTATGTGTGTGTGTGTGTGTGTGTTGTGTGTGTGTGTGTGTGTGTGTTGTGTGTGTGTGTGTGTGTGTGTGTGTGTGTGTGTTGTGTGTGTGTGGTGTGTGTGTGTTGTGTGTGTGTGTGTGGTGTGTGTGTGTGTGTGTGTGTGTGTGTGTGTGTGTGTGTGTGTGTGTTCCTGTGCCCTCTTATCTTCATCCAGCTTTTCTTCCTCCTCTTCGGTTTTTCCTCCTCTGGCTCAGCTTATAGTTTCTCCTCGTCTTTCTCTTCATGTTCCGACTCTCCTCTTCTATGTACTTTTAAGTTTGATTACATGTTTTTTTTTATTTTTTATTTTTTTTTTTTTTTTGAGAAAGGGAGAGGGAGAGGGAACAGGAGGAGAGGGAGAAGGAGAGAAAGAAAAGAAAAAAAAGAAAAAAAAAGAGAAGGAAGAGAGAGAGAATTTGGGGGGTTGACAGTCTGTTCAAAAGCTTTTCAAGTAATTTCTTTTGCTGCTAGATTGAAGTCTCCGCCGCCGCCATCACAGCCTCTCGCCCACTCAACCATCTAACCACACCAATCACCCACACCACAACAGCTAGCCACCCACCCACTCTACCACAGCGATTCACCCACTCCACGCTACATTACAACCACTCAATTACCTAACCACAAGCCCACCCCACCTAAGGCAATGATCGCTCAACCTCGTCAACCACTAACCCACCGCCCACCCACCCAACCCTCAACCACTGACCACTAACCCACCCACCAACCCACCTCGACCCGCAATGACCGCCCACCCGCCACACCTCGTCCCAAGTGCCTCCGTGTCAGGGTTTTTCCGACTCTCACCCACCAAACCCACCCATTCCACTCCACTCCACCCCCACCCACCCACCCCCACCCCAACCCACCCCACCCCCACCCCACCCACCCCACCCACACACGCTTCCCGACAGATTTGTGTGTGATTACGCGCCCTTGTTAACAGTCATTACCTGGACGGGCGGTACTTGGGTTAGTGTGGTATTATATTGCTGTTGATTAATGCTTGGTTCCGCTTGGCCGATTGCGGGGAGAGGCGGGAGGGGGGGGGGAGGGCGGGTATTTAGAATTACCTCTTTCCGTCTTTCTTTTCTGTCTCTCTCCCTTTTCTCCCAGGTTCTTTGCTTTCCCCTTCCTCTTTTTTTTTTTTTCTCACGCTTTCTGTTCGATCTCCTCCTCTTTTCGTAACCTCCTCCTCCTCTTCCCTTCGACTTCCTCCTCCTATTAACTCCTTTCCTCCTCCCCCTCCTCCTCCTCCTCTTCCCCCTCCTTCCTCCCTCCTTACTTCCTCTCTCTTCCCTCCTCCTCTCCTCCTCCTTCCTCCCCCTCCTCTTCTTCCTCTCCTCCCCTCTTTCCCCTCCTCTTCCTCCTTCCCTCCCCCCTCCTCTGTCCTCTTCCTCCTCTTTCCCTCCTTTCCCCCCTCCCTCCTCCTTCCCCCTCTCCTCCTCCTCCTTTCCCTCCCCTCCTTCCCCTCTTCCTTATTCCCTCCCCCTCCTTCTCCTCCTCCTCCTTCCTCCCCTCCTCTCCTTCTCCTTCCCCTCCTCATCATCCTTCCCCTTCTCTCTTCCTCCTCCTTCCCCTCCTCCCCTTCCCCTTCTCTTCCTCCTCCTCCCTCCTCCCTTCCCCTCCTCCCCTCTCCTCCTCCCTCCTCCTCCCCTCCCCTCCCCCCTCCTGCCTCCCCCCCCCTCTCCCCTCCCCCCTCCCCTCCTCCTCCTTCCCCTCGCCCTCTCCTCCTTCCCCTCGCCCTCCTCCCTCCCTCGCCCTCCTCCCTCCTCCTCCTCCCCCTTTCTCCTCCCTACCTCCTCCTCCTCCCCTCCTCTCCTCCCTCATCTTCCTACTACTTCACCCCACTCTCCCTATCCTCCTCTTCCTCCTTTCCCCGCCTCCTCCTCCTTCTCCCTTTCCTTTCCTCCCTTTTTCCCTCCTCTCCTCTTCCCTTCCTCCTTTCTTTTCCACGCCCATTCGAGCCTGCGAGACCAGGGGTGGGAGGCAGGTCGATAGAGCACGAGTTAACATAAAGAGAGGTTTGATTTTCGACCTTGTGGCGGCTAGGAGAAACGTTCCAGAAATGGATGCCTTTTTTGTGGGAGTAGGAGGGGGGGTTATTCCTTCCTTACTCGTTAGTTTTCCTCTAAGGTTGCATGAATTTGCTCTATTTATGCTCGTGATATGGAGCCCGGCGGCGGACAGCGGGCCCCGCGCCCCTCTGTGGCTGTGGAGCGCGTGTGTGCTATTGACACACCATTCCGGCTTCGAAATTCGGGATTAATTGCCGCCAAACATCAGGATTTTCTTTCAGTGAGGCCGTGGCGCGCTTAACCTGCCCATAAATCAGGGGATTGATTTCCTTATGCGTGTGATTGTGTGGCTGGAGCGCGGCCGTGCATAACACGTGGCCGCTTAAGAATGCTGTATTTTAACGGTCGAAACCCGCCATTGCTGTCGTCTTTCTCTCTCTCTCTCTCTCTCTCTCTCTCTCTCTCTCTCCTCTCTCTCTCTCTTCTCTCTCTCTCTCTCTCTCTCTCTCTCTCTCTCTCTTCCTTTCTGTTTTTTCCACGTTTTGTTTGCTCTTCGTTCTCCGTTTTTTATGTTCATTTGCATTCCTTTTCAAAATATATTTTTTTCTCTCCATTCTGTTCTTTCTATCTATCTCTTCTATACATGAAATACGTATCTCCTTTCTGCTCTCCTCCCCT